AGGGGCTCATATTTTGACACCCGTCTCTATAGCAACGTCATTCCCAAGTGTCCACCAGTGGATGGGTGGATAAAGGCAGTGTGGTATATACATTCAATGAAATATTACTCAGCCTTAAAAGAGAAGGGAATTTTTATGTGTGCTACTACGTGGATGAACTTTGTGACGTAACAAGGTAAATAACCCACTCCAAAAAGACAAATGCTTTATAATTCCTCTAGTTCTATGAGGTATCTCGAGTAGTCAAATTCATAGAGAAAGAAAGAATAATATGGGCCCTCACTGGTGGTGCAATAGGTTAATGCGCAGCACTGTAAGCTAGCTGCAGCTGCTTTGGTGTGAGTTCTATCCCCAGCCATGGAACTGACCCTCATGGCTCTACAGACCTCTCCTGACCTGCCTGCTGCTCCCCTCAGCAGTGTACTTCATCCATCTTCCAGTTCTGCTCCCGGCTCTGCCTCTGGTCAGTCCTCTTACCGCTCCTGCACCTCTGGCCTTTACCCCAGTTTTGTATGCATAAGTAAACAAATCTTTAAAAAAAAAAAAAAGTATAACATTTGCCAGGAGGATGAGCCTCTCTGGTGCTCTAGGGGTTTAAGTCTCAGCACTATCACCGTGATGGCCTGAGTTCAATCCCCAGTTAGGGACATATAGCACAGCAGACCTCTCCTATCTCGCCTGCTGCGTCCCTCAGCAATTTATTTCAGTAGATCTGCCGGTTCTGTTCCCCCCTCTGTCTTTGATGAATGCTCTCACCCCCTGCACCTCTGGCCTATACCCCAGTTCTTCTATGCAAAAATAAATAAAATCTTTTAAAATAATTGGGGGCCTCCCTGGTGGCTCAAGGGGTTAAAGCGAAGCAGTTTGATACTATCTATGGCCACTGCAACATGAGTTCGATCCCAGCCAGGGAGCTGACCCAACTCTTCTGTCTCCCCCACTGCTCCCCTCAGCAGTGTATTTTGGTCAGTCTGACTGTTCCCCACTCTGTCTCTGGCGAATCCTCTCACCCCCTGCACCTCCAGTCTGTACCCCAGTTCTTATATGCATAAATAAATCTTTAAAGAAATAATAATAATAATTGCCAGGGGTTAGAATATAGCATTTAAGTTTAATGAATGCAGGTTTCAGTATTGCAAGATGAGTAAGTTCTGGAGGAGGGGGGTGTTGGTGGCTACAACAGTGTGAGTGTAGTTGCCACCACTGAACTGTATACCAACAACTGATGATAAATGTATGTGATACATATTTCACCATAATTTAAAAAAAAATATATGCCTCATCCCCCAAGTGGATATTTAAGTTACTACTAGGAGTTGAAAATCCTCCAAACTCTTCTGCTGTGCACAGAGTGTGGGCTAAGAAATCATGTGATCATTGTATGAATAGTTCATACAAGAGGATCAGACAGAAGTGGGATGAGCAATGATTGAAAACTAGGTTGGGTGCATTATCAGAGAATGAAGATGACAGGGTCCAAAAGGAGGGCTTGTGTTAGCATAAAGGAGGCTCCTGTGCAGTTTGCCACTGCTAACAGGTCCTCTGCATTTCATACTCTCATCCAGGTTGCCTTTTTCCTCTACAATGGGGTGTCACTGGATCAATTTGTGCTGCAGGTGACCCACCCACGGTACCTGAAGAATTCACTGGTGTACCACCCACAGCTCCGAGCCCAGGCTTGGCGCTACCTGACATACATCTTTATGCATGCAGGGTGAGTACCTGTCACCTTCAGTACTACCCAGAGTACCTGTGGCGGGGGCGGGGGGCCGGGGACCGACGCCCCGACGCGCTCACCTTTGAGGAAGTAGACCCGCGGGCCGGCGGGCAAGCAGGCGAGCAGCGAGGTGAGCACGACGCGCGCGGCGCTCTCCTCGCGCAGCTTCTGCCAGTGGCGGCTGCCCTGGTCCAGCACGACCACCGCCGCCACGCCGCCGCCGCCCTCCTGCAGCAGCCGCGCGCGCGCCGCCTCGTCCGGCAGCACGTAGCGCGCAGACACCGCGCCGCCGCGGGCCCGCCGCAGCACCACCGAGTTGAGGTTGACGTTGAACGAGCCGCGCACGCTCGAGGCGGCGAAGGCCAGGTAGGGCCGGCAGTCGAGCACCACGCAGCGCGCCGCCGCCTCTTTGCGGAGCATCTTGCGCAGCTGGCGCCCGTCGAGCGACGTGACCTTCATGCCGCCGCCCAGCGGCCCCGCGCCGC